GTCTCAACTAGTTTGGGATAGACTAATGTTTCAAGTTGAAATCCTGTGAATTCTATTAATATTATGCTTTATCTACACATTACCTTATCAAACCAGGAACAGACTTTGAGTAGAAAATCACAACTATTAAAACTTGGTCTATACTAAGCTCTGTTCATATTTATCAAAATAGAATAAATCTCAAAAATATCAACATTGATTGTTATAATTTTCTTTTCTATTTTTTGACAGTTTTCTTCTTTCTCCATTAAGTAGAGAGTCATTGCTTGGTACATTTTACTAAAAGGAAAATCTCTTTGGACTTCTATCTTGATAGAATAATCTAATTAGATGTTTTCTTTGGATATTCATCTTTTTTTCTTTTTTTAATATGAAACAGTTGATATTATTTCTTTGTAAAGACCAGGCTTCTTTTAGTAGAGATGTTTATCTGGAGATTAATGCTTAATTGCAAACAGCTGAGGTCCACCATACCACATATACAGGTTTGAATCATGCTCATACTCTTTATATTCCATTGGTAAGAAGTCGGTTCCACTCTGACAGCTTCTTCTCAAGAACTGCTACTTTGTGAAAAGTTCCTGAGAGGATGCTTCCCCAATCACTACAATCTTAACCTCTTTAAGTCTAGGGTCAACTATTATCTACATTCAAAAACATCATTCAGTAATCCTCTAACTGTAGTGGCTCATGGACCTTGTATTGGGTGAATAACAGTAAAAATAATAAGTAGGTCTTTCTTAAAGGTTTTTTTCTTTTCTTTAACAGTACTACAATTTTCAAGAGCAGTATTAAATATGTACTAATTATCTATGCCATCAAAAAATGACATAATTTTATTGTATTGGCTATATTTTCTGTATAAGTAATCTAGGACTTACCTATATAATTAACTCCATTGTTTTATATAAGAAACAATTCTGCTTTTTAAACCATGTAAAGAAAGCTAATATGAAGTAAAGGAAAAAAAAACAAAAAAAAATCAATGTATTACCAGTCTGATTCTCAATACTTACTAATGTAATATTCTGTTCATGTTTACTTAACATCAACTGTAGCTTCCAGTTACCATAACAACAAAAAATCTCAATATTAAGCACACAGAAAACCAGTCTAGTAACAAATATATTTACAAAGTTACACTGATTCATGTCCTAGAATATATAAATGCTGTCAGATTTTATTATGCAGGTTTGTTTTCACAATAAAATTAGTTGGTAAGATTTTCAGTATATATGCATAGAAGTTGCAATTCACATGATATATTTATCTGTTTTTATTAGAAGTATTTAAAATAACTTATTTGGTGGTGTGAAATTTTCTTAGACAACTCCAAGGCTGTGCATGATATTGTAATGTTATTGAGGGATGTAAACAAAATGTTGAAAATTGTGAGAAAAATTAAACAGAAATTAAGACAACCAAAAAAGAAATTGAAAAGATTGAATAGAAGAATCCAAATAGTGCACGGACCATCAAGAAAATATTTTTAAAAGCTGGCTTTGTGAATATAAGCAAAGAGAAAAGATGTGAAATCCTTTGGAACACTTGTGAATAGCCAAATTATCACCTTTAAGGAAACCTCACAAAGAAATGTCTAAGTTGGGTGAAGAAGTACATGAAAATTGATTTCTCAACACTAATTTTTCCTCAGAAATGTAGAATTACATTAGATAGACCTGATAGCCGGGTTAGAGTTTGGGTCTTTCATGGAAATAGTCGACCAATATTAGAAGTCAATGAGATGGGAGTAATGTTTTTGGCTAGTATTGTAAACAGTAAAATTATACGTCCCTTGAAAATTGATGATAGCCTCAATATAAATGCAAGGAATTATTTTGTTTTTGGTAAGATATTCTTGAGTAGCATGTCCACTCCTCACGTGTCTGTCTTTTGTTCAAAAATGTTTACACCGACTTGTCAGGGATTATTTTCCGCCCTACAACCCCTTTCCCACAGATGAAACATTACAAGCCTCTTGCTACTCTGTTGCTATTTCCATGACAAGTGTTCTAGTGAGCTGCATTCCTTGGTTCCACCAGGCCTGATCTTAGCAGCTGGCACCCACCATGGAGGAATCTTCCTCATTCCCTTTGTATTCCATTAATAAGGAGTGGGTTCCATTCAGACAGCTTCTTCCTAAGAATTGCTGCTTTGTGAAATAGACTCCTTATATCCATTAGTGATAGAAATTTATTTAAAAATATTAATGTCGAGCTGTCCAGCAACATTGAAAAAATAGATGATTGGCTGTTATAATTACTGTATTTAAGTAAAGAATATACACTATCCATTTTAAAAGTATTCTAAATACTTGCTTATTGATACTGTTGTTTCTGCTGGATTCATTTACACCAACAGGATGTGATTTTCAAAAGATAATTAAATATTGATGAGATTGTGGATTGAATCATAGTAGTAGTAATTGTATGCCATAAATTAAACAATTGTTTATAAAATATCATCTCTTTTCATTCCCGCCCCCCGCAGGGCCTATTGTTTTTTTTTTAAACCTGGTCTTAATTTACACTACTTGATGTTCTCAATAGCTAATTTGTTCCGTCCCAACCCAAACTGAGTATTTCTAGATTTTGGATAATCCCATGAAAAATAATTCTTATTTTTGCAGTAGTGCATAAAAATTAAGATGGTTTTTGGGAAGTTGATTGGATTGGCACTTTGGAAATTTGTACTATACCAATGACGTACTATTCTAAATTAAAATATATATATATATATAATTGTGATAAACAGCCCCATAGAAGCAAACAAGCCAGACTTGCATAGGAAAATAAGGTTCTTACCTTAACATGCAACACGTAACATCGGCAAGTTTGCTTCGTGAAAATGGAATTACTCTCCCATCTAGCAATTCTAGCAGTATGTGCGGTAATGAGGGTTTTTTGTACAGTTTGGCATGCTTCCACCAATAGCAAGTTGTGTGCTGATTGGTCAAACTGGAGGAGGCTATTTGCTCGGGTAACTGAAAATAAAAGCGAAGAACACTGATAGGTTGGTCGACCGCAGTGTTGGCCTGATAAAAGAGGGCTGAAGCATTGAAAACGGCAGAAGAAAACTCGGATTTACCTTGTGAAGTGTGCAGAAAGCAAGAACGGAGAATTGAACCAGCAGTATCTTGATTTCTACAAGTGACATCGTAGTAATAGACTCATTTAAACTACAATAATATATTCTCCATTGCTTAAATATTGTAGTTTAAGATGAAAACTGAGATTGTAGTAACCCTTTTGATGGTTATAGGACAACTGCTCTTAGACAATGGAAAGGGCAGTCTATGCAGTGGAAATGTTATCAAGATTCGACAATCAGAATAGCAAATATGGTACAATTTTAGTTGTATCATCATATTGATATAAAAATATAAATCTTATTGGATAATCCTTCTTATTTGATAAGAGATAAAATATGAAAATAAAACCCTAATTAGTTTTATTAGTATTTACATCTGGGGTTCATTAACATAAGAGCAACACTAGTTTGAAACCAGAATCCAAGACACTTCCCAGTCATGTAATATTAAAACATTAATGCTCACTGTAAAATGTATTAATTATGTAAATTAAAAATTTGGTATTAACCTGGTATTATAGGCTTCTGTCTGACCTATTAATTACCAACTGTCCCATTAATGTGTTAATTTATTAAGGGTATCATGAATTTTTATGTGTATTTCCATCTAAATGGTTGTCTGTCAGCTTGCCTAAATTGCCTGATAGAAAGTGTCAGTCTTTGATTCTTGTGTTCAGCTTCATTAAAAAAAAAAAGTAAATAATTTGGAAGAAGATAAAATCACAAGAATTTTTTTGTTGACTTTTCATTGTTTTAATGTCTCTTTGCATAAGTGTATCACGTTTCCTTTTTATCTTAGCATCTAGTTTGGCACTGATTTCATCTTCAGCATACTATCAAGTATTTCTTGTCAGTGGGAAATGGAAGCTCTTTCAGGTTTACTCAAACTTTGCCCAAAACTTCAGCTCTGATGGAGGGAGGTTGTTAGAAATAGAATTGAACAAATTTAGACACACACTTGGAATTATAGTAATTTGTTCCAATGGGAAATTAGTTGAGGAGCTAAAGAAATTATTTTAATGGGGAGTCAATGCGGGCTCCTTGGAGGTGGTGTTTATTTTTATTTTTTATTTTTTTTTTTTATTAAATTGCTATTTTCCCAAAACCTTTTGTCTATGTTAAAGATGCAGACAAGAATAAACTTTGTTTTTAGTTCTTGGTTTTTAAAGGCAGCAAACAAAAAAAATACTTGAGAAACCCCACCCAATTTATGATTTTAAATAATCTCTCCCTGGTCATATGAAATATCTACTAGGCTAATGTTTACCCAGATAACATAGACTATCAATACTTGTAGCTTAAATTTATAATGCAGTAATATTAAATGTAAATGGGGAAGAGAGAATCTTATGTGTCATCAATATAGTAAAAAATAATATAAATATTATAATAGTAAATTGCTTTAGAATAATGCCATATAAATGGGAGTAGTATCAAATAAGAGGGTCCTTTTTATTTTTATCAAGTTCCAATAATTTAATAAACAGGTGGTGTGATTAAAATAAAAAGTTAGGTACTTTTCCAAAAAAAAAAAAAAAATATATAAAAATGGATAGATCAGTCTTGATCAATAGACATTTATTTTTTTTATTGCATGTATTGTTTCCCCATGGTGTTTTAACAAACAGAGCTAGGGTTTCATATAAAATGTTTTCCCTCTTAATTTTCAAAATTCTAATTAGCAACTCCTACCAGTTAATACAAGTGGAAAGAGTATTTGATAACAATGAAAATAGCTGACCTGCTTCAGTCTTTCCTCATTTTCAACTTATTAGATTTACTTTTATTATATATGAATAACACTTTATTAAAACAGTTCTTTGATTTGTATTTAATGTTATGCTTTGTGCTTTTTAAAATTTTAAATGTGATTTAAAAAAACAAAAAAATTTTTACTTTTCTGCTTGCAGCCACATCATGTCTCGTCTAAGCAATAACCCAAGTGCACACAGTGCTAATACCATGTCAAATTATTATGGTACTAGTTTCCGAGAGAAAATGAAACAGATGTCTAAGCAGGAGCAAATAATTGAAGAGAAAAAACGCAAAATCCAGCAAAAACTTGAAGAAGAGATGAAAAACTCTGCCTCCAAGAGTGCTACAGAGTCTCACTCTGAAGCAGCAGTTGTCACTTCATCTCCCCAATCAGACATTTTCAGGGCAAAAATGTGAGTTCCTTGCTTTACTTATTTAAATTTTATATGCTTCTTAGTTTTTATATATACGGAAGGTGAGTACAAAATTTACATTTTTATTTAAATTATTTTTGCTTTACTAGTATTTGCTTTAAATTAATTTTTAATTTTTATGAGCAAGAACCTTAAAGATTCCACACTGACATTTTTGTAATATATGACTAGAAATCTTAATTAATGGCTATTTTAATGATATGAGAGAAAATTTATTATTCCTATCTACAGTAGATAAAATGCAATGTATACTTCCCATCAAAATACATTGACTAATGGCAAGGCAAATCACCATTGTAATTAATCACAGGGAAGGCTAAACATTTGGAAATGTTACAATATATTTGCCACAATCAGTATCTAACCACTGATAAGTTTTTTTTCTTTGCTTCTTTTTAACAACAATCTAAAAGTTATATTTGAAGAGTGTAATATATTCAGGAATGGAACATGATCATGGACATGTCTCTCTTTCTCATATTCAGTAACATGGTATAATTAAAAGATATGATTAACTAAAAATAAGTCCCAATGCGTTGATGTGGATTTAGTTAAGCAACATATATATATTTTTATAGGTTCTTTCCTAACTTTGTGCACTCTGGATGAAAGGTATCTCACCCTCTTTTTCTCTCCATTCTACATCAGATAATGTGATGGCTGCTATCAACCATAAAACAGTGAATTGCATTTTTCTCTATAACTACCATGATGATACTGGCCATTGCACAACTTGTTTATTACAATGGAAGCACAAGAGATAAAACTATTTTCACATATATTATCATTTATAAATTTCTTAGGGTAATGTTTATTTTTTTCTTCATTCTATGAATTCATAAACTAATAAGAAGCCATTATTTAAATATATGTGTGCTTGCTAAGCTTAGTTTAGTCCATTATAAGACAAATCCAATAAAATAAATTTTATCTTGTCTGTGATAAAGTACATGAATTACAAAAAGACAGTTTCTACAGTTCGTCATATTAAAGTATAAAATCTCCCAATCTACACTTTGTCATATTTTGGTTTATAAAGGATTAATAGATTAACAAATTAGGCTAATTTTTGGCACTATATGACCCATATACCTACTGATTCACTAATAAATTTTAATATTTATGCTTAACCATTTTTGATTTGTAGATTTGGTAAACGACACTTAAATCTGCGTAAAACTACAGATATGAAAAAATTGAAATGTGAAGATCCTAGTTCAACTCCACCCCCACCAGTTGCTCCTTCCATGTCTGCAAGCCAAGACATGTTTGCTAATGATGGAAGCTTCCTGGAAAGATTCAAAAAACTTCAAGGTCTTTTACGTAAGTTCTGTTGTATTTGTTCTTTTGCACTGTGAATTTGTTGAGACTTAGGTATGAAATGTAGGTGTTGAACAAGCACAAATGTGCCTGAGCAGACGTCTACAACAGGGATTCACTAGCTACTCTTGCAGATGGGTGTGCTCAGAAAATAAGGGTAGCTTGCCATTTTATATATATATATATATATATATATATAAAAAACACTTCTTACGTTTTTATATTTTTGTCTCCCTAAATGTTTTTAGGGGGTAATGGTCATAGCATAAGTAGCATTAAACTATAGGTTATATCCATGCATGACAATACTTTTTCAAATCCTGCAAAACTGACTATTGCCCACCTTGTCAAAAAAAGGTTACAAAGGCACTAAATTAATGGAGTGGTCTCTAGAGATATTTAACAGAAAGTTTATTTTCCATCATTAAGAGACTCTTATGAGAAAGGAAAACAACAATCAAACAGTATATTTCTAAAGAAACAAAACTGATGGAAATAATATTAGTCGAAGTGGAGGAAAAAAAATAACAAAATCAATGATTGAAAGATAATGGTGATAAAGTCAAGGGGTCCATATTAACATGTAAAATAATAATAATAATTTTAGGTATATGAGATATTGTGTTAAGTGAATATATTTTTCTATGGCCAAAATCTTTTTTGATATATTTAGAAATTTTATGTTGCACTTAGTTTGTTTGCATAATAAAATGTGACAATCCCCCAAACAAGTTATCACTATTGTTAATAAGGAGAGATAGAAGTTGAAACTTAGATTTTTTTTTTTTTTTTTTTTTACGTATATATATTAAACATATCTCCAGTTGCATATATACACATTTTTAGGATAGTGATCTGGTTTGAATTATATTTCCTTCTCCTTTACTAGTTGCCATTGAAG